TGTTCGATAGCCTACTTGGCATAAAAGATAAAATTGGTCAGATTTTTTGACAAATAAACTTAAATTTTTAATTAGAGTTAAACTAATTAGTTGTTGGCCAGACTTGGAAATAGTTAAAATTCATTTTCTGTATTTAGAAAAGCTAAAGGACAGAGCCACAGTGGGTACAAATTGGCATATCTTATTTAAAGTCACTGGAATTATAGAGATTTTGATCAGCTAAATATATGACCTCACATCTGAATGTTGAAAGACTGAGAAGTCATGGCAGTTTTTTGCGTCAGAGAAGAGTAGCATTTCCCTTCTACTACTTGTAACAAGATGTGAAAATCATGTTCCTATGGATTAGAAAATATTTACCTTATTTCAAAGGGATATCCTTGGTGAGTTATTGCTCACTAATGAAGTAAGACGTGCCCAATCTATACCTCAGCTCAGAAAAATTATTGCTGCTGCCTGTGATTTTAAGTAATGTATAGTGTATCTTTACCAACATATGGTCGTGTCTTTCCAAGAAATGCTACGTACAATTCTTCCAGAAGTTACATTAGAGGGTCTTTGATATAGAGATATCAAGGAATAGCAGAGTTCTTCAAAAGCTGACTTTATGTTAGTAGTTAACTAAAACACAGTAGTTTTGAAATAGATAATCTACCCTTTATTTTGTATTTTGAACTAAAGAATTCAAGCCAAAGGGCTTGAAAGGATAATAATGTAAGACAGCTAAATACCATTAATATAACTATTACTTAAATTTTACTGAAGTGATGATTATTTTTACATATGTATCAATCTTACTTCCACCGAAATGAAAGAAAAAAAGAAAATAAATCATACTGAATCTACCAAAAAGAGGAAGGGATTCCCAAACTTTAACATGGACTTCCATGGTTTTGGACTGCTAAGAGAATAATGTTTCAGCACGTAAATTAAACCTTTGACTAATGGGCTTTACTGTGTCTTCTGGACAAGGTTTAGAAAATAAGACTGAAAAAAAATTATTTTCCTAATACACCACTGATTTCTCAGCAGAGATATCATCTGGGACTGATTCAACTAATCTTCTACTATTTCATGATATTTCCGGTACAGAAATAATGCTTTTAGCACTAAGGGGTCTGTAAAAGAGGCTATGCCAATGAAATAGAGCACCTTTTCATTAGTTCTTTCTCTCTTGATTCTGCCTGCAGTAGGTACCTCTGCCCACAGAGGTTACACTTGCGCCATGAATGATTAAATCCTGCCCAGATAGCATTGCAAAAAACTTATGGATTATGTGCACTAGCAATCCAGTCCTGAGAATCCAGTCCTGAACATTTAGTTTGTGTAATCTCAGTTTGTGCTAAAGTTACACCTCACCAATAAGCACTCAGGGGAGCTACACAAATGTTACAAAATCAAGTAACAACTTCTTTAATGCAGAATTAGGATTAGCATGTGTATTTTATAGTGAGGAAGATAAGACACATGAGTTAAAACTCTTTTTAGCTCCTGTCATGGTAAAAAACTCATGGGCAGAATGAGGTTTCTATGTAATTGTAGAGTGAGATACCAATTCATAGACCTTTGCATGTTTATTCAAAAAATTTTACAAAATATGACTTGCGCTGTCACCCCCCCCCCAATATTCCTGTAGTCCAAGCTAATGAAATTTCTGATCTAAATAAATAAACACTTATTAGCATGTAGTGATTTCTGTCCCCTCTCTGCTTTGTGAAGATGTATTTCAAAAAATTTGACACATACAAAGAGCCCCCCTGAATGTTAGGCACACTCATGGTTATATGTACCTGTAAGTAATTACAGAATCACAGAATGGCAAGGATTGGAAGGGACCTTGGGAGATCATCTAGTCCAACCCAATTACAATGATAGCTACCTCACGCTGGCTTAGCTGGCAAACTGAGCAGAGACTGGACCTTATGACCTCCAAAAGTGCCTTCTAATTTTAAGTACTCTATGACTTGAAGTTTCAAGTTTGGGTTATGATCCTCTTAAACCATCTCTTTTCCAAATAGGGAAACTGGACCTACACAGAGCAGTCTTGCACATACCTTGCAATGACATTAGTGTCAGAAGTGGGAATACCTCACCCAATGAAATTTTGTTTCAGTGTCTGAAACATTAACTTCCAAAAAATCATACTTTAATCTGAAAATAGGTAAATGTGATTTTTTGCATACTAGATTTGAAAACTTCTAGCAGTCATAAAAATAAAAAGAGATTTCAGCATGCATTTGGGTATAATCTGGGCTTTATCGAATTTGTTCTGGACATTAAAAGCACTTGCAAAATTTAGGCCATATAATCAGAAGGACTGATCTGAAAGTCTTAAGGAGATGAAAAGGGCTTTGTCATTATAACTTTCATTATTATTAATGGCATTGCACAGCTAAAGCCCTGCTCATCTGGATAGAGATGCGCCTCTGTTCTGGCTGGTATGCAGTTTTACACAGACAGACATTTAGACAATTGGATACCCATGCTAACTTATGATACACTTGGGATTCAGATAAAAGCTGGAATTCAGTGGCGTTTTTCCCTAGTTACATTGGCTGTGTTCCCTTGCCTGTCTCTCACACTAATCACTTAAAGCATTTAATGTTTTTTGAGATTTGGAATGACAAAATGGCTCAAAATGGCAGATGAGCAAAAAAATAGCTATTTCTTTCCTACAAATAATTACCAAGAGGAAATGGAAGTTTTAGTGACTGTGGGCTGCTGTTCAATAAGGTTGTTCTAGGTTTGAGACAAGTCCTAGACAAACACACTGTTTCATCTTCTAATCTTGCACAGTCAAGTACACCACACTCTGCTTAAGCAGCTATTTGACTTTTGAAGCTTTCTCATCACATTAATATTCAGAAACGCATTGCCTTTGTAAAAGAACATATTTGTTTTACTTTTTCTTTTCCATTCAAAAACCTATTATTTTCAGAGAATGCATGTTTAATTGGTTATATAACAGGAGTATGGCTTTTTATACATAAAATTTGTTTTTTTTCATTCACTTTGCACTGACTGAAAACATATAATCTAGCGTCTTCTGTTTGCAAAAACATTATTTAGAAGGATTTACTTTCCTCCAAGAGGGAGAACCTTGCTTCAGTTACATTCCTTTGAATTACAATTAGATCTCTGAACTCCAGACAGATGAATAAACAAATTTCCCCCTACCAATTTAATTAACCTGGCCTGTTTGTCAGTACCAGCAAAATACTATGTCGCACATGCTAATTAAAACTCCACTTTTGATTGCCAGTAAAACACTGCAGGTTTAGGCCTGTGTAGCCAGAAGGAAGAGTTTGGGTTGCCTATTCTTGACCTGAGGAGCTTCAGCTCCCAGATGTGTATTACTGTTGCAGAGCGGGTTAGGCGGTGCCTGGAGGCTGCAGTCAGTGGTACACAGTACCTGTAATGAAGGCATAGATTAACCTGGCTTCATTAGCAGCTTCCAAGCTCGCTTCAATGCAATGCAAGACTGTCTCTCTCCTACATGCCACATGTTCCTAGTTGCTACAGCCCTGTGCACAGTATCGGGACGTTTCAAATTTCACTGTACCTTCAGCACCTCCTGGGAAGCTGAGTCTTATACAGAGAGGCATAGATGTGCTGCAGCTCTTTCATGTTAGGCTGTGCCCATAGGGAAGAAAGAAGCTAAAGTCTCTTTTGTAGTAAGTTGTATTTGTGCAGTTGGCTTACAGCTCCCAAATGCCCAACATGGGAAAACCTTCAGGCGAGCTACTCTGGGAAGGAATAAGCAGGATGCAGCAGGATAGCACTGCAGGGAGGAGTGGGCAAGACCTCAGCTGAGTGAAGATCTCTGTTAACAGAACAGCGACGCTCAGACTCTGGCACTAGCCATCCCTTCACTATTGCACCCATGACCATGGTCAGCTGTGTCTGCTTCCAATCTTGTGTGCCAAGCATGAGTTCGAGCCCACATGAGAATCCAGTTCTTTGTGCTCTTTACGCGCTTCAGATTCTGGCTGAAACAGGACATTAATTAAATTTTCTGCTTTTGGCCCAGTTGTATCCAAACTCCACCCACTGGCTTAAGACATCTGCAGTATCGTTAAGACTTTTCATACCCAGCAGTGTTCAAATTTTGTCACAGAAGCAGGTCAGGAAAGAAGGGCACTGCCATATTATGAAAAAAACTTACAGTTGCCTAGCACCATTCAGCTGATTACCACTGAGATTCTGAAATGAAAATATCTGATGATGTCATATTCTAAAGTAGTTTCTATGTTCTCCTCTAGAACTAGAGGCACAGATTTCAAGAAAATAAAACATCCATTAAGGCTAGTCTACATATTTCTGATTCCTAATTTGCCCTTTTCACTGTGCTAAGCAGGTTGAATTATATTAGATCTGCTGTCATACTGCTCAGTAGCAGAAAAAAAAAAAGCAGACAGACTTTTTATCCTCCCTGGGTTCTGGTTAGCACAAGTGAAAATGAAAACCATTGGCAAAATTTGTGCTGAACTTTCCAAATGCACAATAAGCTCAAGTTCATCAGAGTGGAGAAAAGCTGTGTGGCAGTTTGTTTGAATGAATCTAATTATTGGTCTTGTCAGTAATGTGTTGCATCAAATCGTTCTCTCAAAGAGAAGTAATGCCACAACACTGTGCACATACTAAGTGATATTTTGGTGAAGAGTTGCATAAGCTAAGTGACAATTAGATTTGTTTCATAACAGGTCCCACCTGAGTCAGTGAGAGAAAAAATAGGCATGCCAAGGGTGATAAGCACTGATGCTCCTTCAAATAGACAGAATATGATCTCAACCGTACTAAAAGGAAATGTTGCTAAAGTGAACTGTTACCTCAACTGTTATGTGACATCTTTATTGTGAGTCTCCTTTTATAAAGCAGGCAATTTTTCAATGTTTTGTACAACACTATTAAAATGTGAATTATGTATATATTGTCTCCAAAGATGTTGCCTACAAATTCATATTTTTCAAGGCTTTCCATTTCTTCATTTTTATTTCTTTAACAGTTCCACCCAAAAGGGAGATGATGATTATGAAGACTACACTTCAAATAAGACTTGGGTTTTGACTCCCAAAGTCCATGAGAGTGATGTCACTCTTATTTTAAATGGCTTGTTGGAAGGATATGACAACAAGTTGAGACCTGACATAGGAGGTATGTTGGTTTTCTTTTTAGACCACTTTTGTTTAGGCAGTGAAAAGAAAGATTTTTCATACCATATTATGCTCCACAGGAAGCAGAATCCATTCAAAGTAGTTATGAAAACAAAATACTATGTGGTAAAACACCAGTGGCACAAAAAATAGTCATGTTTTTGGTAAGTGACATAAATTAAGCTTACCAAATCTATCCTGAGACATCTAATAAGACTGCTGGAATTGCTGAATCAGGCTGCTTGTAATGATGCACCTACATGGGAAGTCTGGAATTTGATTTTCAGGGAATGAAAAAAGAAGTTTTTATTTTCTTTGTATATCTAAGTGAGAGTGTTAGAGAATCACAAATAATATTTTGGAAAGGAAGGCCAAAATGAGGATAACGCAGGTGGATCATTGCATGATGTGATGGACACAGACAGAGCCTCTGACAGCAGCAGGTGTGCATTGACGTCATGGGCCTTCACTTGCACAGCAGGACAAGAAGTGACTGTGGAATGGAGCACAAAGGAAGAGGTTCACAAAAGATGACTGCACTCAAGTAAGGCCAACCTCCCTAGATTTCCCCTGCAGCCAATATAAGTATATAGATCCAAGCTTGGACTCATAATGGAAGTCTTATTTGACTGAATCACCTTTTGCAGGAATCTTCCTCTCCACTGATTACTGAGGGAGCTTGAAGAGATAAATCTCCCTGAGTTGCTGCAAGTCAGTTTGAGAAGGCCCCATGTGTGCACAGAACAGGCAGACAATACCTCTGTAGAAGAGGATACAGCAGTAATAAGATTATGGAAAAACGCAAAGAGAATTCATGGATAAAGCAGGCAGAGGAAAGCTGAGAGCAGCAAGGTTAATGAAGGAAGCTGTTTCTAACAAGTTTATAGAGGCTTATAAACTAAGGAATTTTTCACAGTGAGGGATAACACGAGTATTTAACCTTCAATGTATGTATATAGTGTAAACTAGCAGAGGAATGTGTCTTATTCTCCCAATCCAAGACTTTAGAGAACAGAAAGGAATTAATCATTCATAAAAGCATCTGGGAAAAAAACAATCGTGTTTTAGTCAAAGCGTATAAGAATAATAAAGCTAAAATAGAGTGTTTTCAAAATACATTCATCTAACAACTGTTTTTCATTCCTGTTTTAGAGCCTTGAGTGTTATTTTTGCTTTGGGCTCATGCAACTGTGTTACCTACAGCCATCTCTGCAAGCAGCAGCAGTCATGTTGCATTTGGCATTATAATGTAAAATGAATGATGCAAGACATCATAAGAAGAATAAGTTTGCTTTTGTTGATAATGTTTTGTCAAATGTGTTGCTGTGACCTGACATAAAATATACATACTCAGTCAGATATGACTGACTCTAAGGTAACAATAGTGGGTTCAGTATTTGTATTCATAGCATAAGTGAATTTGTTCTCACAGAATAAATGAAATAAGAATTTGTCTCAAAGTGTCTCCAACTAATTTCAAACCAGAGACATTGCTGCAAATTTATATTTATTGTGTATGCATATTTAAATGTAAGGCAACCATAGCCATACAAGAGAGGTACTACTGATAATCTTTTGCTTGTGTTTGACTTCATGTACTTGATTTCGACCTTCACTCATGCTACTGATTCTTGTTGTTTCTCTTACAGTTAAACCGACAGTAATTCACACTGACATGTATGTAAATAGCATTGGGCCTGTGAATGCTATCAATATGGTAGGTAAATGATTGCCAGTTTTTCTACAATGTTCAGTTTATTACAAAGAGACTCCATCATTTTTGACACTATAAAGCTTCCGCTAGTTTTAATGTTGTGCTATACCTATGTTATTTTTAAAATCTCATGATTGTTATGGATGTGAGGACTATGTGAGCTATGAATCTCTGTAAGACAAGGAAAATTATGTCTATGCTGAAAAAAATGCAATAATAATAGTTTTAGCATATCCTCACACTTTATATGTACTCTACATTTAAGTGCTTTGTGACAGTTTAACTCCTGTAAAACTGAAAATCCAGACTGCTACAAAATAAGGAAAAACATTCACCAGTGATATTAACACTCTTGCCACCAAGAGATAAAAATTAAAAAGCCTAGATCCTCTCTCCCCTCCTCTTTCCAAAGTTCCTACAGAAAAATTTAATTATGTCTTCGTACAGATGAGGGAAAATGGTCTAGCCTTAACACAATGTCTACTTCATTCTTACAGTTTTAATGTCTAGAAAGAAATCTCAGATTGCTCTTTTCCATTCTATAATGCTCTTTTCAGTTTCTGGCTGCCCAATGGTGCCAGGAAAAGTGAGACTTCACCCCTTCTGATATTAACTGGGGGGCACAGGCAATTAAGGCAGCCAAGTCAGCTCAGATTTTTCCTGTCCTAGATCCAAGGGAATAAGTAATTGTTCTCTGAGCTGATCACGTGTGGATTGAGGAGAGGGGATACAGAATTAGAAAGGTGCATATACCACTCAATTGCATCTCAGTTTCACCTGTCAGTAGGAAAATAACAGAATAAATTGTTTTTAAACAATAATTTTTGGTAAACCATGCCCTCAAAAATGGTCAAAAAATTGTTTCTATCAGTTTTAATATCATCTGCAGTTCATTTTTTTATATGAAATTAAGGAAAACATATCAGGAGTTATGCGAAATGCTGAGTGCTATGTTTTCATCAGTATTTCTGGTTAACACAACAGGAATATACAATTGATATATTTTTCGCCCAAACGTGGTATGACAGACGTCTGAAGTTCAACAGCACTATAAAAGTGCTCAGATTAAACAGCAACATGGTTGGGAAGATCTGGATACCAGATACATTTTTCCGAAATTCCAAGAAAGCTGATGCTCATTGGATAACAACTCCTAATAGGATGCTCAGGATCTGGAATGACGGCAGAGTGTTGTACACATTGAGGTATTTATACCTGACTTTAATTTCAGTTTCTCTAGGGGAAGCCAAAGAGAAAGGTCCTGTGAATTCAGGTCATTTGACATTAACCTAAACGAAAAAACATTGTTTTTTCCTGTTTAATTATGCATACAACTCTGAAAAAGGGAAATATGTAGAGGATATTACTTGCATGTAATTTATTTTATATTGGCACAGTAAAGGGTTTTATTTCTTCCTATAGATTTTACTGCCTTGCTCCAAAATAGTCATGTTCCTATACTAAAATGAACATAAACATAGTTATAGTAATTCATCTTCATTTTCAGCTATGTTTTATTGTTTGCCACTGGTTTGGTCTGTATTGCCTTTTAGCTTTTTATTGGGTTAAAAAAATGAATTTGAAATATCCTTGAATTAAGTAGATGACATAAAAGGAGGTATTATAAAAAGGCCTCTTATTCTGAATTGATTACAATTTAGCTCGACAAAGCTCCACCCTGCAAAAGCATTTTACTCCTCAAATATCTTATGAAAATAAGCATTACCATTTCAGCATTTAAGCTTTAATCCAAAACCTAAAGATATGCCCTGTTCCACTAAAATGTTCATGAATCTGAATTTGCTATGCTCATCTCCAGATTTCTCAAGCACATGATAGCTTTTCTTTTGAGATAGATTACCTTTAATAATTGTTACACACATATGCCTACATTTAAGCGTAACATATGCAATACGTAACAACTCAAATATCATATACCCAATAACCATAAGTTAGTTCCTAAGTGTGAAAATCCTAAGTGTATTTTTTTTTTTTTACTTTTTCTTACATGTGATATAATATTTGGTTCTATGCAAAATGTAGGCAAAGACAGCATTTGTTCAAGAGAATCTGTAATTTGAGAGTGAAGAATCAAAGATGTTAGACATAAGACCATCTGAGTTTTCAAATGCAATTTTTTAAAAGTGTTTTTTCCACTTTTGTTTTATTGGGTGCCAAAAATAAAGTTTTGAGAAAAAGTATACTCGTTATAACTTTAATGAATAGATCTGAAGCTTTGGTCAAGATGACCTTTTAATGTTGCAACAGTCTGAATTACAAAAAGGAGTTTTATTGCATGGTTATTTTACATTGCATTGCCAGAAGAGAGAAGAGAATGATCAGAATTGAAATCCAGTGCAAATCAAAGTCAGTCGGATAAAGAAGATCCTGGGTCCACTTTTGAAATGTTAAATTTGGACTTACCTACGCTCCTGTCACTTTGGATTTTGTTACCTTTCTCTTCAAACCCCTCTGTTTCTCTCATTGGAAAGAGATGTACTTGATAGAACTTATAAACAGTTATCTGTTATTAATGTATACGTAGTTGTTCTAGTGAGCCACAGCAAGTACCAGTAAGGCTTTGACCTGGATTAATCCAGAAGTGAAGTGTGATAGTATCATCACAGATCTGTGATTCTGTCCTGAAGAGTAGAGGGCTCTAGAAGAGCTGGTTGATTTTCTCAGTCGCCTCCCTCTGAAGCTCAAGAACAGTCCATCCTGACCAGCAGGAAATCAAGCCAAGCTAACAGGCAGTCTGCATGGATCAACACAAAGCTCCTGACAAAACTCAAATGTGAAAAAAAAAGTACTAGAGGTGGAAGCAGGGACAGGTAACCCAGGAGGAACACAGAGATGCTGTCTGAATGCTCAGGGACAGGGTTAGAAAAGCCAGAGTTCATCTAGAGTTGAATCTGACTAGGCACATGAAAGCAAAAAGAGTTTCTACACATACATCCTCAGAAAAAGGAAGACTAGGGAAAATGTGGGTGTACCACTGAATGGGAATGGGGACCTTGCCACAAAGGAAACCAAAAAGACCAAGGACAATGACTTCTTTGCCTCAGTCTTTACTGGTAAAATCCTGCTTTCAGCAATCCCAGACCAGTAAGAAAGTGGAGTAAGGAAGACTTACCTTTGATGGAGGAGGATCAGTCATGAGCTAAGTAAGCGGACACTGAGGTGGATTGAATATGCCTGAAATGCCAGGCTCAGAGGGTTGGGATCAATGGCATGAGGACCAACTGGAAAGCAGTAACTAGTGGTGTAGTCCCCAGTTTTGTACTAGGCCAATACAGCTTAACATCTACACATCTTCATTAATAACCTGGACAATGGGACAGAGTACACCCACAGCATGTCTACGGATAATAAAAAACTGGAAGGAGTGATTGGCATATCATAAGGTTGTGCTACCACTCAGAGGGACTGCAACATGCTGGAGAAATGGGCCGACAGGAATCTCATGACATTCAACAATCCTGAACCAGGGGAGGAATAATCCCATGCAGCATTACAGAGTGGGGGCTGACCAGCTGGAAAGCACCTTGCAGAAAAAGACCTGGAGATCCTGGTGGATGTTCACTATGAGCCAGCAAAGTGCCCTTGAAGCAAAGGCAAACAGCATCCTGGACTGCATTAGGGAGACTATTACCAGCAGGTCTATGGAGATGAACCTTCTCCTCTGCCTAGCACTAGTGAGACACATCTGGACTGCTGGTTCCAGTGCTAGGCTCCCTGGTTCAAGAGGGATATGATCTTACTGGAGCAAGTGCAGTTAAGGTCCATTAAGAGGCTGAAGGGCTGGGAGCATCTGTTGTGCAGAGAGGGGATAAGGGAGCTGGGACTGTTCAGCCTAGAGAAGAGAAGGCTCAGGGGGATCTTATCAGTGTGTGTAATGTAGATGGGGGTAAAGAAGGCAGGGGATAGAAGGGGTAAAGAAGGCAGAGACATAATCTTCTCAGTGGTATCCAGTGATAGGACAGAAAGCAATGGGCACAAACTGAAGTACAGTAAATTCTGTTTAAACATAAAAAGAAACTTTTTTTCTGTGAGAATGGTCAAACAGTGGAACAGGTTGCCTAGAAAACTCTGTGCTTGGAGATGTTCAAAGCCTGGATTGTGCTTTGTGCTGAGTAATGAAATCTACTCAATTCTACAAGAGAAAACAAATAAAAAAACTAGCAGTAAATCTGAGCTGATCCCAAATTCAAACAGTATTAAATATATTCACCAGGGAAAAGGCAATGTTGAAGAAAGAACTTAATCATTTTTTGGATCCATATTATGATCTTGAAATGAAACTGAAGATGATGGAAATGAGAAGAGAAAGAAAGGGCAATAATATTAGCACACAAATCAGCTCTCCTGTGTCATAAACAGAACTTCCCTTTGTTTCAAAGGAAATTGATTTTGTTCCTAAATCCCTAGTGCAGAAAAGTTTCCTTCTGACTTCATTAACTTGGTGGCTAGTGGTCACAATCCTCTGCATCCCTCGGTATGAGACCCAGGGAGTCATTTGCACACAGCACCTACATGCAGGAGCCAGGAGCCAAACCCAGCTCACCGGGTTGCTCATTTGGACACCCAGGAATTGCCAAAGACCAGAAACCTATGGTTTTCCAAGAGACTCACGGAACAAATAAACATCACTCTGCTCTTCCCCTACCTCCCCCCCCCAACCCCCTC